ACTACATCGAACTTCCTTTGAGTCCGTGGGAGTCCAACAAAAAAATCCATAGTAACCCGCTCCCATTTCCACTCTGGAAAATCTAGCCTCTAAAGCAATTCACCTGGCCGTTGATGCTCATACTTCACTAGTTGACAATTTAGGAACCGAGCTACATAATCCACTATATCCTTCTTCATTCTCCTCCACTAATAGTGCTGCCTCAAGTCCTGATACATCTTGGCGGCACCCGGATGAATGGAGTACCGCAAACTGTGAGCCTCACGCAAACCATTTACATTGGGCACACATAGCCTGCCCTGCATCCGTAATACACCGTATTCCTAATAGTAACCTCTTTGGCATCGCCGTGCTAAACCGTGTACTTGAGGACAAGCAGATGAGGGTCGTCATACTAACTCTCTATGATACGATCATAAAGAGAAGACCGAGAAACCACACAAGCCAAAACTCGACTCGGCTCCGAAACATCTAATCTAACAAACTGGTTGGCTAAGGCCTGAACATCCAATGCTAATGGCCTCTCCGCTGCCGGTAGATATGCTAAATTGCCCAAGCTCTCTGCCTTGCGACTCAAGGCATCGACCACCACATTGGCCTTCCCGGGATGATATAAAATGGTGATATCATAGTCCTCAAGCATCTCTAACCACCTCTGCTAACGCAAGTTAAGATCCTTCTGTTTGAACAGATGATGTAGACTCCGGTGGTTGGTATAGACCTCACAAGGGACACCATACAAATAATGCTGCCAAATCTTCAAGGCATGAACAATAGCTGCTAACTCAAGGTCGTGGAAATGATAGTTCTTCTCATGCACCTTCAGTTGCCTAGACGCATAGGCATTCACCCTACCATCTTGCTTCAACACCGCATCGAGACCAATATGCGACACATCACAGTACACAGTGTAAGATTCCAAACCCGTAGGCAACACCAACACTGGGCAAAGCAGTCTTGAGCTTTTGAAAGCTCTGCTCTCACTCCTCGGTCCACCTGAATGGAGCACCCTTCTAGGTCAATTTGGTCATAGGTGCAACAATAAAAGACAAACCCTCTACGAATCGATGGTAATAGGTGAACGAAGGCGACTCGGTGATGTCTATCACACCGAGTACTTCCTTCGGGGCATTACCCATATCTCGGGAAGCCTCGGCCACGACCTCCACGTTGGCCCCAACCACGACCTCCTCATCGGCCTCCCTGGCTCGAGACAGATCGGCCTCACCTCTCTGATTTGGAGGCCCCTCGCCAACGAACTGCGATCGCACGAGGGCCACCAGTTCAGAGGCTTCTTCTTCTTTTTCTTCGGATTCGTCCCTTGGCCGATAGAGTGAATCCTAAGGTGGGGCTCGAGCGTTGGTATTTTCTTTGGGCTTGCACACCAGCTTTCTTTTCGTTTTCTTCTTCTCTAAGCTCGGAGAACTCAGAGCCCTCTTTCTTTTTTTCTCATCACCTAGTCTCGGAATAGGGGACTCGGTGGGGCAATCCTCATCACCGGATGGAGGTCTCAGTACGACGTCCTTGGATAAACCTGCAAAGGGAAACAAAATAAGTAAGAACTTAGCAACACAAAAGAAACCCAAGTATTACTCACTCGGGAAAGGAATCTCACCATGAGAACGAGCCTCCCACCGGCCCTTTGAAAGTTCGCTCCATGCGCGCTCAGAATATGGCCTTTGTAACACAATGCCCACGACCCATTCCTTGAGCTGAGGGACTGCATTCGGGACCCGAGCGACAGCTGAACCACCACTAAACACCGTTAAGAAGGAAGGAAAAAAGAGTAAAATAAATTTTGAAAATGAAATTTTACTTACGTTTTATATTTCATTTCTCACGGAACAACATGCACTCAGCTAGGATCAGGTTCCGAGGTCCTCACTCGGACAAACCGGCCTAGCCATCCTCGATCGCGATCTTCATCGATACTCGAGAACTGGTTTTACTAGCCTGGCGCGCAAGCTTGATCAGTCCCCCCCCCCCCCCCGAAAGAGTCGAGGACTATATAGGCGCATGAGGTGGTCAACGGTGAACGAGCATCCATCGATCTTGCTCACGAAGAATCAAAAAAGGATCACAATTCTCCAGAATGAAGGTGAATTTGGCCGAGGCATACCTCGTATCTCTTTGCAGAAGTGGATGATAGCCGGATCCAATGGGCCCAGCGTAAAGGGATAAGTGTAAACACTTAAGTATCCCTCGACGTGGGTGGTGATATCTTCATCGGTTTCGGGAACCACCACGTGCTTGTCAACCCAGTTGCAATCATTTTTGACCGTGGGGAGGATTTCTTCAGTGATCGAGCATACGTATCTCGAGACCTTCTCACATCGGCCAGGTACGGAGAGAGGTTTTTCAACCTTGAAATTGGCGGTTACCGAGCATCTACCAAGGATGAACGTGTTCAAGGGGGTTCCGCTACATTCCTCGCCGGTAGTATGTGAATCGGTCTCCTCGGCAGCCGGCCGCGATGTAGAAGGGGTTTCTTTTTGGGGAACTATTGTTGAAGTCTTCGCCATTTTTCTTTTGAAATGGAAGGGAAAAGAGGAAAAAAGGAAATTAAAGGAGTACACTTGATGGTTTGGGATGAAGATGAGCAAAAGTTCTCACAAAGATCTCAAAAAACTAGAATACAAGTGCTAGAAAATATAAGAGATTTCTAAGGAACAAGGGTAGAAGGTCTGGATGTCAAGTTTGAATGAATGAAGAAGGGGGTATTTATAGTTTTCAAACAATGGTTCGCATCTAGGAGTGGCCGACCGGCAACTGACATGCATTTAATGTCATTAAGACGTGACTGACGAGACATTTCGTTCATTTTGTCGTTTCTGACGCGGGGTATTGAGGTGAGAATCAGAAGCTCATATCGTTTCTCGTCGTCTACTCTCCGAAAAACGAGGGGACTATCTGTATACGGGTAAAACCGATCTCAAAGCACATCCCGGTCTCCAATATGATAAGCCAAGCTCGAGATATGGTAACTGGGGGCCTAGACCGAGGCAGTGATCTCATCCATTTTGAGTCCGGACCGTAACACCCGCCTTCGAAGATATCGGGGACATTGTAACACGCATTTCAAAGCAGTATATTATTAATTTCTTTCTTTAAGCTCTTGTTCTTCTGTATCTTGATATCGATCAAATTGCATCCAGTTCAAGTGTGACTGACTTTCCAAGACTGTAACCGTTCAAGTTGTGCGGTTTGAATTTACTTTATAATTATTCATTTCAATTGCAATTCTAATTTATCCATTTGTGTCAATTTACTTTGTGTATCCTTAAAACCATTTACAAATTCAATTGTTATCCGATTTTGAGGGTAAACAACATGTTTGTATATATTATATGTTCAACTAAATACTTCTTTGCGAGAACCATATTTATAAGGGAAAAAATAGAGATTTGCTTGCAAAATTAGCTATTGTACCTTTTGATTTAATTTTTGATAAATATCTATCATAGTTTTCAAGTATATGAAATGATAGTCTACTATTGTACGTGGTTACAAAACTACAAAGACTGGCTTCAAAGTCCAAAACTTGTAGGAAAAAATATATAAGGTTTGAAATTAACTAATACTAAAAGAATTTTCTAAATATAAATCCACTTGAACAAACACACTGTAGATATAATTTAGTATATATTTCCAATTCGGACTTCAAATCGTTCTCTTAGAATAAATAAAATATTCTGTCAAAAAAGAAAGAAAGTAAATAATTTGAGTTGAGGACTTTTGTGGAATAATATTTTTTCCGTTATTGAGTTTGCTAAGTAGAATCAATATCCATCATTTTAAGGAATTTAAATTACTTTTTAAACTTTTATTTTATAACTCAATAGATAATTCTCAATAATTTTTATGTAATTTTTTAAAATCTATTACCCATCGAAATAGGGTACACACACAACGTGGGACTAGTGAATATGAAAAAACAAAAAGATTAACACATTTCAATAACACTTGATAAGCAAATGATAATACAAGGTAAAATCAACCATTATTTAAAGTTGAATGGATGCATTTTATAGTTCTATTAAATAATACATCCCATGGGAGGATCACAAATATTTCGAGATAAATTTTTTTTTAAAAGAAAATCCTATATAAAATTTTAAAGATATTTATAAAAATTATATATTTATATGTCAATTTGGTTAGAATTGTTTTACTCAATTCCAAACCAAACAAAACCTAATTGAACACCCCGATATATGACAGTGAGACTGTCCCCGTGTAAAGGCAAATCAGTCTAATAAAACTGCCAAAATTTTACGGTATAGCCAGTTTTCGGACTGGTCAATCAAAAATAGCCAGCGTTTACCAAGTCAATGAAAAATAGCCACCGTTTTGCTGCAATAGAGACCGGTCCAGCATAATATACTGGAGTTCGGTGCACTTGTGTATGAACTCCAGCATATTATGCTGGACCGGTATACTTTGCTGGCTCCAGTATAATATACTGGAGACTGGAGCACTGGTGCTCCAAACTCCAGTATATTATACTGGACCATTATACTTGCTGGAACTCCAGTATATTATGCTGGAGTTCTAGTGTATTTATGCTGGAACTCCATCATATTATGTTGGAGTTCCAGCATACTATCCTATAACTCCAGTATAATATGCTGGAGTTCAAGTATACTTATGCTGGAGTTCAAGTATACTTATGCTGGAGTATTTTCCGGGTTTTGAACAGTATTTTCGCTCAGATTTATCTTTACATAAAAAGTGGCTAAATTTCGATTACTTTTAAAATTGGGCTATTTTTGAACGACCAGTTGTAAATCTAGCTATTTTTAAAAATATCCCTAACAAAACTTGAATTTAAATTTTAGAATCTAAGATGATTAGTTTGAATAGCCTTTTTTTAGATCTATAAATTTAAACATTCTCTGAATAGTCGACCTAAGTTCACAGAATAGAGTGGCTTTGCTATATCTTGAAGAAAATAGTCAGTAATAATTCCCTAAAAAATATATATTGAAAGATATTGACCATTCACACCTCAAAGCCTACTTCTTTATTGTATTGTAAGTTTGTTTTGACGGGCATAATAGTGTTGAGATGCAAACATGCAAGCATAAGGTGTGAAGCATGATATGTTTTGGTGTGCAGATGTTCCAAGTATAATTTTGATAACAGTTGAGTAAGTCTAGTATCCAAAATTACATGAATTTAAGGACAAGCTGCCCAAAAGCAATACCGAGAAAAGTTGCAATTGTAATACCAAAAATACCAGCAAGAATGCCAGGAACAACCAAAGAAGTCCACCCTTTGGCAGTGGCCATTCCACAAGCTGTTGTTGGGCCTCCTACGTTTGCATTTGATGCTATGAGCAATTGTTTCAGTTCAAATCGGAGCAGTTTCCCAACTCCGAGTATCACTGCCAGATGGACCCCAATCTGGACTAAAGCAAACAGGAAAATACTGGGTGCTGTATTGATAACGTTTAATATGCTCCCGTTGGCACCAATGAATGCAAAAAATACCTGTTACTCAATGAATGCAAAGAGAACTACATCAGACTAATCTTTGCCCAAAAACAAGAATACAGGAAAAAAGTTAGGATCATACAAACATAGAGAAAAATCTATTAGGACGGGGGCGGAGCAGAGAAGCTCTTGTGGAGGGCAGGTGAAAACAATTTTCTGAAAATTTAAGATGGGGCAGGACGGGGTGCAGGTCTGCTGCCAATGACTCTTTTCCGCCGAGTCTGCTGCCATTTTTATATACATTGAAGATCGACTATTGTCCTTCCATTGTTCCTTATGATTTCCATCAGCTGGGAGATGACCAATTCTGAAACTTCTATTTCAGTACTGGCATTATTCTTGATATTTAAAGCATGATATTATTGGTTCAAAAAGATGTATCCATGTATTATTCTAACATATTGGGTTCCCTACACATCATTGTTACAAATCTTGCTTAACTGGAAACTCAGTTAAATAGAGATAGATTTCACTCTATTGCCAAATATCTTGCTTAAATATATCTGCCAGTGTCTTTTTCCTTTTTTTTTTTTCTTTAATTTCCCAATTATAAGATTGAAGATGAGAGTAAAACAATTTTCTGTTAGTTTCAATTACTTTCTCATTTCGTTATTCTCCTTCAATAACTTATTATCTGCTCTTTTCTGCAAACAATAATTTCTTTTGGGAGTCACTCAAAATCAGTGTTTTAAAAGGTATTAAGTAGCCAATCAATTCCATCCTTTTGTAAGACAAACCACCCAGGACATTCACAGACAAATAGAGTCAAAAAGTATGTCATCATGAATTCGCCCTAAACGTCCATGGTGTGCTCTTGCAGCTTTTTCTTCATTGCACAACTGATACAGACGATAGGCCAGGTAAATTTGGGCAACACATGCAAAATTGAAGAAATTAAAGCAGAGGCTAAAAGAAATATGTGTTTAGTGTCTAAGCTTGCGTTCATTACAATTCAGCAGTGCAAGAACATCTCAAGTTTTAAAAAATAAGCAGTGAAAGGCTGGCTATGTCAAACAAGCATTTTACATTCAGGTATACTGTGGGAACTTACCTGCATCAGAATCAATGCCATAGCCTCACCAGAAGGCGCAAGGTCAGCAAACTGCCTGGGAAATGAAGTTGCTAGAATGACAACAATGGCTGTAATAATGGGAAGGGTACCTCCTTGAATACCAAAATGCTTAGTCAAAAAGTCTCCAGCTTTGCATATGGCAAAGGACACAGCAAGAGCAGTAGCACTCTGCAGTACAGGTAGCGTGTTGCCAGATTCTGATTCCCCGTCGATCTTGTCATCTGAAAGGAGTTTCAAGTTCTGTTAGAGATTTTCATCTTTAGCTATATCATTTACACATTGTCTTTTCCTTTGTGGGAAAAAATCAGAATAATTCAGATTCCAAAATTGGCAATCACAGGAATTCAACGTCCTACGAGGGATCTTATCATACCCCAACTGCTGGAGATCTACTAAGTGGTTATATGATACAAAATGAAATAAATGAAGACAAAAGACGACAACGAAAGCAAGCATAATTTCTGGCTCTAATGCTTGTCATGGAAAACCAAGTTGGTTTCTTGATAAGAACCCTCCTACAGAAAGAGCACTTTTAGGTTAACAAACAAGTCAGAAAAGAAAGCATCTGATGTAGCTCCTCTTGTTGCACTATAGCAATTCAGGTGCTCATTTAGAGAATGTAGATCCCTCTCGTCTTTGGAGGCCCTTTCATATGATTTCTTTAGCATTAAGTCTTTGTAAACCTTTTTGTCCTATCTCAAAGATATCGATAAGACAAAGGAGATTCGGCAGCTAAACCAAAAGCTGAGGTATTTCAGATAAATAATTAAATCTCTCTACCACTTGGAAAGAGATGGAAATCTCAACATAACCATGCATCAAGAGTTTCTAATCAGTGTTATCATAGGCACGCTGATGCCCTAAAGTGAGGCTCAAAACACGCTGAGCACTTCGCCTCGCTTAATGGGTGCTTCAGTGTTGTCATCAAGGCGTTAAGGCATGCTTTTCCTTGCCAATAAGCGTAATCCTGAAGAGGCAATGCTAAACAATAAATATTTCACTTTATCATAAATTCTCTTTAATTTTTTCTTCCATATATTTGGTATTCATGCTTATAGATATTAGTCTTGGACTATACATACATATTTGTAGTTTTACTCTATTTGCGGCTTTCTTCCTTAAAGCCTACGCTTTATTTGGCTTTGCGCTTAAAGCCCCAACAGATCTTAGAGCTTTTTTGCGCTCTTCGCCTTTGACAACACTGTTTCTAATTTGAGTTTTCCATTCTGAAGATTCAAAAAGAGTTCCTCATATTTTAAATTTCACCTATGTTGCTCGGACCATTGTAATTCTTGCGGCACCTGTGTCTATCCAACATGGGTGCAGGTACAGGTGTGGGATGCACACTGGATTTTGTTAACCTAATTTGGGTGATTTGACTACACCTATAGCCAAGAAGTATATGTTGATTGGGTATTTGATTGATTTTGGGTTTATGTCATACATCGGACAAAGTACTACAACACTTTGCTATATACAGATAACTTATGAATAAAATATTAAGTGTTAACTCATAATATAATTATACTAGCTTTAAATTAATAACTTCAACTAATTGTTGAAATATAAACTTATATATGTCTACTCGTTTTATCTTAACACTCGTACCCATACTCCTACCATATCCCTGCATCCTAAGATAAAAAATACTACTCTTTAATCAATTTATATTTATATAATATTTATTTTTCATTTAACTTAATTAACAATAATGGATTTAGATCACCTTAATCAAAATATAGGTTATTTTTCAATAATCTTGAATAACAAATTGTCATATATATTATTTTTTATATATTTATTAGCCGTAGGGGTGTCAATGGATATTTAAAAACCGACTAAACCGACCGAACCGTACCGTACCGTACCGAACTAATTTTTAGGTTTCTTTTAATAAAGCCGTAGGTTTTTATATAAATCTATAACTGTACCGATAATTAGGGTAGGTTTTTTATTTTATGAAAATAAACCGAAAAAATACCGAAGCGTACTGAATAAATTTTACAATGTCAAAAATAAATTTATATGTTAAGTTTAAAAATAATAAAGCATTAAATTTTTTCTTGGGCCTTGGAATTATGAAATAGTACAAGCCAATAAGTAATTAAACTCAAAATCCTAATTCCCAAACCTTTTATGCTACTTCTATTGAAACTAAATTATTTCCAGCATTTCACTAGCAAAACACAAGGTATTGTAGCGATTAGGAGTAGCAACCTACAATGTATTGAATATATTTACTTTCTTATGAATTAGATTTATCTTTTGAAATGTTTAACCTTCTATAGACTTTATTCTTGAATCTCAACTTGGTTAACATCTTTTCACTCGTGTGATTTATATTTTTCTGTATTTGCTTAGTTTCGTTTACGCTGCTGTAGAATATTTGATGGATCTATACTCTAGCCATTCGAAAAATCCCATCGGTTCGAAACTAAATCCTAAACTTCGGAGTGGCAAGTAGCAGAAAGAGAAAGTCCAACTTAGGCCTCATATCTTTCATATTTTCTAAATTAATCACCTTTTAAACTGTAAAAATATCTTAGAGAGTTTTGCTAAGCCATATAAAAGTATTGCATTCTACTTCTACTAGTGCTTTTACATGACATTTAAAAAAATTACCGAAAATTTACCGAACCGTACCAATACCAAAGAGAAACCGATATGATTGGGACGGTTTACATAATAGAATAACCGAAAAATTGGTATGGTACAAAATTTATAAAATAACCAGTCGAACCGAACCATTGACACCCCTAATTAGCCGTATCCCAGCTCTCGTATCCGCACTTAGATCCATATCCCCAAATCCTAAAATTTATGTGATGCATAATCCGACCCCTAGATCCGCACCCGTATCAGATACCCGCACTCGAGTATGAGGAATATAGAATTTCACTACTTTAAAACAGATGGAACAGCATTTAGCAAGCACTAATTAACAGGTAAGGAGCCATGGAATATTTCATCATTTGCAGCTGTCTACATACCAGTGGCTGAAGGAGTAGCCTCAGCAGGTATTTTGGAAGCCAATGCAAATAATGTTGTGAAGTATACTGCACAAATAAGATTATCAGCAGCCAATCCAGCAGTGACAACTGAAGGTGATGTCTCCAGAGCTTCGGAAATAGCCACATAATTGACAGCTGCAAGAGAGTCAGCAATCTTTTCATCCGTGATAAAATGAATTAACAGAATCTCATCCGTGATAACTCAGCATGCAACATAATAGTTCAGTAAATTACTGTCTTCCAGGGCAAAACAAGAGTTCCCTCACAATTACAGGTTCAGACATCATTAAAAGCTGCGAAGTTTAAAAACCAAGTTTTGATATACTTCCCATAGTTTCTTTATTTTGAATATTATGAAAGGTTGCCAAAGAGTAACTTTCATGGTGGAAAAGGATTATTTTACATGGAAACGTTCAGTCATTGTTGTTAAAGAGACAGCACGATTTTCTAGGAAGTCTTTAACGATAAAGTGATCAGAATATAATCTCAAACAAGGGAGACAAGCTACCTGAAATTTGAAATGGAGAACCACTTCTGAATCCAAATATAAAGATCCAAAGTTGAAACTGAAATCATCTTTAAATGGTACAATGTTCCCAACTTAGTTTCTGAACCAAACTAACGCTTAAGAAGTTAAATGTATTTGATTCTACTTCAGACCACCAGAAATGTCACAGTTAACATAACCTTCTAGGTGTATCTATCGGGAAAGATATTGATATGCTAAATATGACTATTAGAACTACCAGACTATCAAGCAGGTTTTTAGTGTTAACTTACCTAACCTTCTTTACAAAAGAGGTTTTTTAAACTGACATCCATGCCATTAACCGACAATTTCTAGCAATGGGAGTCAACTGGTTGTTTTTCCACTCTTTGGGTTTGCAGGAAGTTCATTATCAAGGATAGTGCATTTTGCCATGAATGTTAGTCGGAAAAAACTCTAAACAAGGCAGGTTGGAAAATACAGATGCAGAAGGATGATCCTACGTCAAAATTGTACAAGTCCACAAGAAAACAAGTGTCCATCAACTTACCTCCACCTATGTGTCTTCCCATAAGAGCAGCAGCTATCTTCCACCCATCTTGACCAAGTGATCGCATCGGAACCATCCAAAAGGCCACCACAGTCCCGATAGTTGTTGCAACTGCAAAGAATAAGAGGAAAATAACTGATTAAAAAGATAAAAAGAATTCAGAGCTCTCATGGAGAAAAAATATATGAAGTAAAAAAGCAAATACGTGCTTAACACTTTGATAATGTAAGGGCAATGAAGCATGGAAATGAACATGGGCCACACACACAAAATCCAACACTAAGGGTGACATGACATATCTTTTAAGAAAAAGGACATGATATGATCAGGACAATTTTAAAAAAAATGTTCTTTTTCCTTTTTTTACCGAGAAATCCCTGAGGGCCATCATAGTTCGAAACTCAGTCGATAATGGGCTCGCCTCTCTACCTTTCTCCACTTAATACCAAGCTTTTGTCTACGACAACTTTCGAACCCATGGTGTGAGCCTAACTCACACATCATGTGTGAAACGCCTTAGCACTAAACCAAAGCCCGGGGCAATACTGTTTTTTCCCTTAATTATATGTATAAACACAAACTCCTAGCTCTAACTATTTCATTTGATGATAACAATATAAAACAACTTGAAACAAATATAGAGGTCCAGAAAAACAAAAAACAAAAAACAAAAAAAGCTACTCGATCAAGTTTGAGGGCCACTCATGCTATGAGCACAAAGAATTTAATGCTAACACTCCTTCCACATGATTTGATACCGCAGTGATAGCTAAAAATTGATGTGTCTGTACTTCTCAACATTCAGACAATACAACAACTAGCACTACTATGCGCGAACCCAACTTACCCAAGCAAGTTGGGGTCAGCTATATAACCTCAATGACCATGTCGCTCTATTTAATCTCATCATAGACCTATATTATACAATAATAAGTAATAATAATAATAAAGTACTAGAAGTTCTCTATATTTTTTATTGACATATGATTAAAAGACTTTAAAAAACATAAAACCTGAAGTACATGTACTAACATGACTAAAACCTAATCTCAACTAAAAGAAATCGACCTATGCAGCTCTTTTTCTTCCCGTATGCCCTATTTTTCGCTAGGATTACGTGAATTCCAAAAGATTGCAAGTCTTTCGAAACAACTTACTTATATGTGATTTTAAGTCTACCTCGTCCCCTTATAACACATTTACTCACTATGCCATCACATTTATAGATCGGTGCATCTGATCGTCGACACATGACTTGAACAATCTATCTCAAGCGGCCTTCCCTCATTTTATCCTCAATGTGTGTTACTTGCGCTTGCTGTTGAACGTGGTTATTCTTATCTTGTGTGACTGCAATCCATCTTAATATGCGCACCTCAACGACATTTATATTATGGATATGTTGGACTGTAGAGCTCATGACTCTGTACTACCTGGTTTTGGGAGTTGGTATTATGCATCGCCGTTTTGGCTAATGTTGATTACCATTTCCACTATTTATGATAATTCAGGCTTATTATATCATGTTTTGATGATAGAATGTTATTAGTGTGATTGGCTTACCTAGTCTCGGAGGTTAGATGTCATCACGACCTTTGGTTTATTTTGGGTTGTGACAATTACCTAAGCAATCTGATAATTAAACAGACACAACTAACTCTAGTTATACTAACTAACTTAGGTTATACCTCCTTCAATAGAAAATATAAGGTAAAGAAGTTGAAATATATCCTGTTAGCTTCCACCCTATGCATAAGCCTTGTTCTTGTGCTCTATTCTCACATAGCAATTGAAAGAAAGAACAAACCAGTCTATGAACTTTAGCCAAAGCCATTGCTAGCTAAGGCCAAACAACAAACCCAGTGAATTCCCACAAGTGGGGCAGCTAAGGCCATTGTGTACATTACCCGATGAACGAATACAAACATAGCTAATGGGCCTCTAATCATCAAATTAAAGAAATACGGGTCATACTAAACCTAACTGTAGAGCACGGAAGACTTTAAAATCAACGACATAGTAATAATTTTAGCACTCCCAAAGATAAAACTTGAACTGGTCATCCCAAGCATTGCAGGGCAGAAAATCATCATTTTGCATGATTACACCTGCCGTAAATGAGTCACAAATTCATTTAGATAAAAAAAAGAAAAGAAATGGAGAACCCCACTCTACCTGATCCAAGCAAAAAAGCCAAGAGCAGTGTTCCAGTGGATTGTAGTACGCGACGCATATCCGCTCTGAACAACAGCAAGGGAACAGCAAGTGGAAGCAAGAATCCTGTTACAATTTTATATGCAGGCGCTTCACAAGCTATAATGCCCAAGTTACTTGCTGCAAGACCAACCAGTGTACTTACTAGTGCACCACTTAGTGCACCCCCAACTTTGGTCTTCTCCGACCTTCAATTTTATAAACCAAATATCAACAAGCTGTGTAACATAAAATCTTGACACCTCAACTTATTCGCCCAATGATTATATACACAAAAATTAAATTAAGTAACAAATAACATACACACGCATGGCCCATGGGATGGGAGAAAAACATTACCAAATGCCAAAAGCGCCGGTAGCGAAGAGAGCGGTCCAGGTGCCCCATTGATCTTGTGGTGAAATGATGGGAAAATTCAATTGGGATCTGATAGTAGTAACAGAGCGGTTCAACTTCCTCGAGCTCTTAGGGAAATCCAGCGGTATGTATTTGTCAATGTTCGACAATAACATCGGATGTTGACGTATTGTATTAGCTGAAGTAATTGCTGAGGCCGCTGGGACATTTTGACGGCGAGGAGAACACAATGCCGGCGGTGGAATGTACAAATTGTGTAGAAACCAAAGCTTTGACGCCATTTACATGCTGTCCGTGGTTAGATGCAATTGGACAGCTTAATACACTAGGTCCATGGGATTGTCTTCCACATGTCATACATACATAGGCTGCCAAACCACCAACTTAATAAAAGTGGCAATTATAAAATTGATCATTTTTTACTTTCAATAAGGACACACTAATTAAAAAAGTCTGCTTGTTTGCTCGTGACTTCCCTCCATTCATTAAATACTAGTATTAGAATATTATTACATAATATTAATCATAAAAATCTGATTTGACAAAATGTAACGGCGATACCGTCGTTTTGCTTTCTAGATCCATGTTCCTCTATTTAAGATTTTTCGTACGTGTTTTTACTATTTTATGACTTGTGAGAACGGTTGACTTGGTTCTGAAAGGGTTCGGGAACACTTTTGACTTGAATCAACACTTTGAGTAAACAAAACTCGAAATCGAGATTTGAAGGTTCCAATAGGTTCGTATGATGATTTTGGACTTTGTCATATGTTTGGATAGAGTTTTGGGTGGACTGGAAGCGTTTCAACGCTTATTGAGTTGGCGTCACGAAGGCTTTAGAGTTTTCTAAGTTAGGTTTGAAGTAGAATTTGGTGATATCTATGTCCGTTTGGGATTTTGAGCCTTGGAATAGGTTCGTGTTTGTATGGGGTAAAATATATTCGTATTTAATGATTCCATGAGAAAGCGACACGTGGAACCGAAGGCAGAAGATAGCCAAACTCGAAGGCAATGATCTCGCTTGTCACCGGAGAGAATGATACTCATAATGACAAAATTAATACCGCCATCCGGTAGCATTCAATGAAGAATATTCTACAACATTAAATGCATGGTCCGTTCCAGAAAATATGGCATTCATTGACCACCGTTACATATCCTTCAATGGCCATCACAATTGTCATTAAAGAGGAGCTTAATCCTATGACCTTGTTTCCTAGGTGCAGCTATAAATAGTGAGCTCTATCATCATTGTAGGGGACATGAATTTTCTGACAAACATGTATCATACTCTGTTAGAAGCTTAATAATACTTTATTTTCTTGCTTATTCATGTTGTTCTTATTTCTCCCGTTAGCTCTGCACCCAGAACCAAGATATCTGCTGTCTATTTCAATTTTAAGGCTAAGTCTTATATTTCTGTCTAATTCATCTATTATTTTTTGGATTAAATTAATTCACTTATCTATAAATCACGTACAAATTTAACTGTACCGTTTTATGGGTAAACAATTTGGTGCCCACCGTGGGGCATAGACGGTCGTGTAATTGAATAGATCCCTGCATCTGTTACTAACTTATTTGATTCTTTCTTCTTAGCAAAAATCATTAAAAATGACAGATAATGGTGTCAACAACACACACAACGTTGAGGCCTAAGGAAATCAGTCTCAGCATGAGGATTCAATTAGTGATACCCGCAATAAGGGGAAAAAGGTCACGCCGGTCCACGGCGGCCGATATCCGCGATATGTTCGGGAGGTAACTCCTGACGATGCAAAAGAAGAGCACGTCGTCGAAGCGGGAAGGGTCTTGCAAGAGCAACATAAGGCCATTATAGGCCATCTTAGGAGGCAGAATAAGGTCATGCCGGAACTGAAGCAGGCGTTGTCGGGCGCTTCCAGCAACGCGAATGGGCGAGGTCAAGCATTCCATAGGTTCCTTTGAGATAATCGCGGATTCTTTCATCAAGGCCCATGCTGGGGCTAGGAAAGTACAGTCCCTAAAGGCCTATATATTCAGGATTGCGCAAGGAGAGGCCGAGTTGCTGCGGGAGTTTGTAACCAGGTTCCAAAAGGAAAGGATGTTGCTACCAGCCATTCCAGACGAATGGGTAGCCGAAGCATTCACCAAAGATCTAAATCCGAGAAGTTCCGACGCTTCCCGAAAGTTGAAAGAAAGTTTGCTCGAGTTTCATGGCAACAACTTGGGCGGATGTTCACAATCGGTATGAGTCTAAAATGAGATCTGATCCCGGCTATAGGGATCTTAATTTGTGGTGCGTATATCACGGGACAAACGATTATCGGACTGGGGACTGGAGACATCTGCGCGAAGAGGTGGTAACATTGCTGAAAAATGGCCATCTCAGGGATTTTTTGAGCGACCAGGCTAAAAACAACTACGGTCGCAATCATGATAATGCAGAGCCTTCAGAAGTAGAAGAAGATCCCCCGCGCCTGACGATCAACATGATTTTCGGGGGAACGAGATCAACGGGGCTACATTTTTTGTGGCAAAAAAAGAAGAAAGTATCAGTGACTCACAGCAAAAGACTCCGAGAAGTTGCTGAATGCGACATCACTTTTACGAAGGAAGACGATGATGGACCGCTGTTATTGCATAACGACGCCCTGGTAATTTTTCTAAACGTCTTATATTTCAAAATTAAACATGTTCTGGTGGATCCAGGAAGTTCGGCCTATATCATCCAATGGAAAGTGTTCGAGCAAGCCAAGCTCACCGAAAGTATTATTCCGGCCACAAAAGTCCTCGTCGGGTTCAATCTGGCAAGCGTGACAATCTGGGGAGAAATCTTGCTACCCACAAATGCCGAGGGGCTGATGAAGACGACCCTTTTTGAGGTAGTGGACGGTGATATGGGTTAGAATATCATTCTGGGTAGACCATGGCTGCACGAAATGAAGGATGTGATGTTGCTGAAATTTCCAACTCCCGAGGGAGTTAAACAAATAAGAGGTGACCAACCGGCAGCAAGGGAGATGAATGCAAGCTCAGTCTTCAGTAGCAAAGGGAAAGAGCATACAACATAGAAATTACAGGAGTCAGCACTTGTTCCCGAGCCAAGCGAATTCAACCAGGGGGAAGAGGCGTCAGAATTCTATCAAGTGCCAAGGTATTTCCAAGTACCATAAGAGACGGACACAACAAAGTCCACAGCAGAAAAACTTGAACAAGTCACATTGGTCGAGAAATTCTTGGAAAGGAAATTCCACTTGGGAACAAGACAGCACCCCTAAATTAGGTCTGGTTTTATTGAATTTATTAAAATTAATGTCAATTGCTTTGCGTGGTCGGATGCGGATATGACAGGTATCCTGCCGGAAGTGGCCGTATGCAAGCTAAGCTTGGATCCCAGCATTCCTCCAGTAAGACACAGAAAACGTCTTATTGCCGAAGCCAGAAATAAATTCGTCAAGGAAGAGGTGACTCGCCTGCTTGATATCTGTTCAATTCGAGAGGTAAAATATCCCGACTGGCTAGCTAACATAGTAGTAGTTCCAAAGAATAATAATAAATTTCGTATGTGCGTAAACTACAAGGACTTAAATAAGGCGTGCCCAAAAGACTCGTTCCCATTGCCAAACATTGATCAAAAGATTGATGCAATGGCCGGGCATGAGTTAATGAGTTTCCTCGATGCTTACTCCGAGTACAATCAAATCAAAATGGACCCGGAGGATCAGGAAAAAACTTTGTTCATCACGAATTTCGGCACATACTGTTACAACGTGATGCCCTTCAGGCTAAAGAATGCTGGAGCCACTTCTCAACGGCTCGTGAACAAGATGTTTGAAAGGCAAATAGGGAAAACCATGGAAGTTTACATAGATGATATGCTTGTTAAGTCTTTGAACGCAGGTGATCACCTCAAACACTTGCAAGAAACTTTTGACATCTTAAGGAAGCACAACATGAAGCTTAACCCCGAGAAGTGTGCGTCGGGGTCAGTTCCGATAAGTTATTGGGATTCCTAGTGTCACAAAGGGGGATAGAGGTTAACCCCGATAAAATCAAGGCCATCAAAGACATCCCGAACCAGCTATCAAGCGTAAAAGAGGTTTAGAGGCTAATATGGAGATTGGTCGCTTTGAGCAGATTCATTTCTCGGTCTTCATAGAAATGCCATCATTTCTTCTCATTTCTCAAAAAGAAGAACAACTTCGAATGGGCCCCGAAATGTCAAAATGCTTTGAGCGATTTGAAAAGATATTTGCCAAACCCTCCGTTACTATTGAAATCGGAAGAAGGCAAAAACCAGCTGGTCTACTTAGTAGTCTCCCGAGGTAGCGATAAGTGCTGTTCTAGTCCGTGAGGACGAAGGTATGTAATCTCCTATCTATTACATTAGTAAAATTTTAACGGGAGCAGAAACTCGTTACCCACATTTAGAGAAATTAACCTTAGCTCTCGTAGTCGTCGCTCGAAAAATAAGGCCTTATTTCCAATGTCATCTGATAGCTGTGGTGACCACCTTTCCCCTGTGGAATATCCTTCATTAACCCGAACTTTCGAGTAGGCTGGCTGAGTGGGCCATCGAATGAGTGAATTTGACATAGAATATAAACTAGTACTGCGATTAAGTCACAAGTTTTGGCTGACTTTGTGGCCGATTTCAGTCCGGGACTGCTACCTTTGGCAACCAAAGAAGCAGTGATGGTGTCAGAATTAACATCGAGAGTTTGGACCCTATTCACGGGTGGAGCTTCCAACGTAAAATGGTCTGGGCTCGGCATAATGCTAACCACGTCATGGAGGGAAACCCTAAGGCAGGCCATAAGAACGGTCCCGCTGACTAACAATGAGGTGGAGTATGAGGCTTTGATTGCAGGGCTCGAATTGGCCCGAGGACTGGACTCTGAGGTCATAAAAATCAAATGCGACTCCCGGTTGGTGGTAAATCAGGTCTACGAGATCTTCGAATACAAGGAGGAATGCATGCAACAATATGTAAGGAAGGTTCAGCCGTACTCGCTCGGTTCCGGGAGTGGTCAATCACACATATACCGAGGGAAGAAAATACAGAAGCAGGCACATTAGCTAACCTTGCCTCATCCACGAAAATGAAAGGATCGGACTCCCGTACGGTCGTATAGCTTATGCACGAGGTTCTGGACACGGATAGCTATTACGAGGGAAACACGACTAATTTTGTCTAGGACTGGAGAAACAAAACTATCAATTATCTCGAACATGGGAAAATCCCTGAGGATCACAAGGAATATCGGGCGCTACGTACTAAGGCCGCACGATATAGTTTCAAAGGCGGTCAATTATACAGTAAATCTTTCCAAGGTTCGTTGGCCCAATATTTTGGAGCCTCCGAGGCTAACTATGTTATGCGAGAAGTCCATGAAGGGATTTGCGGGAACCACTCAAGCGCAGATTCCTTAGTACTAAAGTTAATAAGGGCAGGATATCATTGGCCCCGGATGGAACAAGACGCCAAAGCATATGCTCAAAAATGCGATAAATGTCAATGCTATGCACCGTCGGTGCATAAACCGGTAGAGCCACTGCACTCAGTTCTGTCACCATGGTCGTTCATGAAGTGGGGATTGGATATCGTGGGACCACTGCCACTAGCCCCCAGCAAGGTAAGATTTCTTTTGATTTTAACTAATTATTTTTCTAAGTGGGTAGAAGCAGGTCCTTTTCAGAAGATCGACGAACGTGAAGTAGTAGATTTCTTGTGGGAGAACATAATTTGCAGATTTGGGATACCAAAAGAAATAGCCTGCGACAAAGGACCACAATTTATAAGCGCAAAAATCACAAAATTCCTCGAAGACTTGAATAAGAGGATCACATCATCACCTTATAATCCGAGCGCAAACGTCCAAGCAGAATCAACGAACAAAGTGATCATACAAAATCTTAAAAAGAGATTGGAAGCATCTAAAGGAAAATGGGCCGAAGAGCTTCCAGGTGTACTATAGGCGTACCGAACAACAACCAAATCAAGCACGGGGGAGACTCCTTTTTCTCTTATGTACGGGTAGAAGCCCTGATACCGGTGGAAGTAGGTGAACCTACCATGAGATATTTTTTGTCAAATAAAGAAGCAAACAGTGAAGCAATGTTAGTCAATTTGGAGCTGTTCGATGAATGTAGGGACTTGGCGCATATAAGGATGACAACTCAAAAGCAACGAATAGAGAGATATTACAATCGAAGGGCAAACCTCCGTTACTTCAAAGTAGGAGACTTGGTTTTAAGAAAAGTAACCGGGAGCTCAATACGAGAAAGCTAGGTCTAACATGGGAAGGACCCTATAGGGTTTCAGCCGTCATCGGGAAAGGGTCATACGAGTTAGAGAATCAAGATGGAGAAAAGTTACCAAGCAACTGGAACGTGGCACACCTCAAAAGATACTAGTGCTGATGAACGTCACCTATACTGAAAGTATGTGCTGCATTCTTTTTCCCTTCATCCGGTTTTTGTTCCAATTGGATTTTTTTCTGGCAAGATTTTTAATGAGTCAGCAACGTAAAGCATACTACGAAGAAATTTTCAAAAACAATAATAAGACCTTTTAGTGACAAGGCACACAAGCGAAGAACCAATACGAAGCGGTTAGATAGTCTTTTGCTCGATAGCAAAGTTCCTACCGGGAAGTTAAGTTTGTTGTCGAACATAGATTACCTGACCGCTCACAAGTACAAGCCACTGGGGGATTGTTAGATAATCTTTGGCTTTATAGCATAAATTCCTAAGGGGAAGTGAAGTTTGTTACCGAACTGAAGATTATCTAGCAATTCACTAGTGGAATCTTCGAAGGTATAAAACTCCGAGTGTTCTAATTCGCATTCTTCGCATTCGAACACTGGGGGGGGGGGGGGAATGATATGAGGATATGGCAACAATGACTGCCACTTCGACCGAAATACGAAACCAGAAAACATAATTATATCATCGACCAGGGACTGCACGGCCAGCGGCGTAGAAATAAGTCGTACAAGTTAGCCACAAGAAATGGCAATTCCTTTTTAGCACAACGAATGCTAATGTACTTTTGAAAATGGAAGGAATAAAGTAAATTTCTTTTATTTCTATCTTGTTTCTTGTCTGAACGGTGAATTGATTTTATCATTCGAAAGTTGTACTTCAAATGTTAGTGCCGTAATGAACATGAGACGTCCTCTTCAAGAGCACCGTAAACATAAGAGGGCCCTATCTTATAAAAACCCTCACGTTAGAGGGTTTATTTCGGAAGAACTTATGCCTAGAATCCAAATGCTTTTAGGGAAAAATACACCCAAAGCCTTGCATGATTAGAGGCAAATAGTAAAACTTGCACAAACACTTAAACGAAAAAAGACGCAAAGAATAAACTTGCGCAAATATTCAAACTAAAGTACGCAAAAATGGAAACTTATATGACACTTGAACAAAAAAGTGTTTTTATTTACAAAAGATGTGCCAAACGACACAGTACAAAAGTTTGAAAAGGAAATCAAGAACTAAGCTGCTGCATCTCTGGAACCGGAAGGAAGAGAAGCATCCGCGCCCCTAGGAGAAGTGGGTTGATCCACCGCCAGCGAAATCCTGGCCTTCATCATTTTGGCCCTTAGCATCATCACCTTCCGGATCCTCTTCAGTTCCCGAGAACTCAGAACCGAAACCAGAAGAATCGGTAGCATCGCGCCTGACCAGAAGACCCTTTGTAGTAGCCAACTCCAGCTCACGGGCTTTAACGATTTCGACATCAAAATCAATGACACCCGCTTTAGCCTCTTCCAAGGTTTTTATCCTCATGCTATACATTGCATATGTTTTTTCAACAATGAGGGAAGCCGCTCGGCACGGAAGTTCTCCTTTAAGCTAGCCGACCTCAGCAGAGAGGTTGTTTCACGCAAATCTCATG